CTCTCTCTCTCTCTCCCTTTTGTCCCATCATTCATCAATTCACAAAGAACAGTGACAATTGACTTCTGGTTATATGTCTCAAGCAATTATAGTACATGTACATGTACATCAAAATAGAAGGGTATATGTACATGAACATGTACTTACTCCTTTAAAACTGTTGATGAGACAGATGTGGTATGGTTGGTCGGACTGCTGGCTATCGACATAGGCATAATCTAGAAAGCAGAAAAACACATGAAATAGTTAAAATAGTCGTAATGTGTTAGCTATTGTGCAAAAGTGGCATACACAACCAAACATGGAGCATAATGATGATAATAATAATAATAATAACAATGTTTGATATGTTTTTGAATAAAAAGCAAATGATTGGACACAATTAGACAAACGTGCATAGCATGTACGTGTACACAAATCATAAATTCATAACACTAGGCTCTTGTCGTTTTACATAACATGTATACATGTATATATACACCTCTCTTTCTCACTTTCTCTCACCATGCACCTTTTTATGTCTCTCTATCTCTATCTCTCTCTTACCTCCTGGCTTGTAAACAGTTTGGTCCTCAGCTGTGTAACAAGAGTAATCTGGTGTCTTCTTTTTAGATTTCATGCTTCCTCCAGGACCGCCTTTGCCATTGGATCCTCCGTTCTTTTTGCTGTTCGGTGGAGGAGCAGACACAGGCGGTGGTTTGTTTGCTGCCGCAGGGACAGGCGGACGACCTTTTTGACTATTATTTGTCCTTCGTCCTCTTGTTTGAGCACCCGAGGAGGATGGTGGTGGCTTGTTGGACATTTTGCTGGAGGAGGCTGAAGGTGGGACTGGGGCTGAGTTGCCTCTGGTTTTCCGTCCCTTTTTCCCGTTTCTGGGATCCTGCTTTTTAAAGTTCTTTCCAGGCATCTTGTAGTTGAGAGTCTTTTTCAAAGAAAAAGAGAGACAAAGAATGTAATATTATTACAGGCGCACAGCTGATGCCCTCTAGAAATTTGTATTGAATGATGCTCTAAAACCTTTCTTCTTATGGCCGGAGGGAGAGCGAGCTAAGAGAGGGGGAGAAGGAGAGAGAATGTCACTGTCTGACAATAAATGGCACTTCCACTGCTGTTATGAATACCGTTTCGTTATGACATAATTGGGGGCCAGTGCTAGAGTACACAGTATTATTATTGTATTAAATATGCAACTGATAATGTGATGAATACCAAAGTTGTTCCTGTAATGCGGTCAATGGCAGTCAGAAAATATGAATTCCATGCATTCTTAAAGGTAAGCGGCGGCATAGAGCAGGAATGCAAGGAATGCGACTACAAAAGTGATAGCTCAGTTAATGGCCTTTGATCAATTCTATCCCGCGATTGTATTCCTCTGTAAAATAAAAGCAGAGTTTTTCTTGCTTCATAGATCTCAGCTGACAAGTTTTTAACATTGATCTATGCATAGTCTAGTCTACATCTATGGCATTCATTGGCGGAGTTTAGCGGTCAAACGCCCACCATTTGAATTCTAGTCACGTGCCTTTTGGAGGGAAACCGAGGGAAACATCTTTGCAGTGTTGACTTTCCCCAGCTAACTGGCTGTCCTATTCTCTGAGTTTACTCTCTCTCCACTCCATTTTCTTTCCTTTTTTAAAATTCAAGTAAGAAACAGAAACCATCCTAATTATTATGAAAAACTAATTTTGTTTACTTGCTCAGTTTCTAATTGATGCCCCTTTAGGCCTGGGACTCCACTTAATTTTCTCTCTTTCTTTCTCTTCAAGTCATGGAGGAACAAAGAGACCAGCCCCAGCGTCTCATGATCACAAAGATCGTCTGCGAGAATTTCAAGTCGTACGCTGGCATAAAAGAACTAGGGCCTTTTCACAAGGTGCAGAACGAGGGGGCGGGATTGGAAAAATTAAAATAATATTAATCTTTTCTCATTAGACATAATACTTATTAGTATTAAGTATATGTAATATAAATGTGCATATAAACCATATATAGCATGTGTACATTGCGATAAAGGGTTAATTATCTGCTTGGTAATACATGTAGATGGCCAAATGTTCTGCCATAATGATCCTAATTCTCATAATTGTTTTGTAATTGTTATAATTACACTAATCAAAATATTGTCACTACCAACACGCCCCTTTAACTCTCTCTCTCTCCCTCTTTTTCTTCCAGCTGCTCTCCCTCCCTCCTTCTCTCCCTCCCCTGCCTTTTTTCCTTTCTATTTCTATGTTTGTTTTCCCAAGGCTCTCAATGTATTGTTATCATTATGAATACTAGATACTTTCACTATTAAATAACTATATTAATATCAGTTACTATTCACATGCCAAATACAGTATGTCCAATGTCCCCACCTACCTGTACAGTAGCCACAGGAACTCTTTATCAAGATACATGCTTCTACAATGTAGCTAGTACACCTGGCGTTTGGAGCAACTTTTAAAAATCTAGTTTTGATCAGAATTAGTTCATACTTTAAACACAACATAAATACATGTATGTGTATCAGGAAAAATTATAAAAAATGGAGAGAATTCTCTACTTTTCATTTTTGGCAAAATTTGGCCCGAGACCATGTATTATAGTACTGGGACTTTGGTCAGATTTTTGAGCAAATTGACAGTTCACCGACAAGAAGCCGCACAAGCACTATACAAAATCCCGTGGGAATTAAACACTGTATACATGTATGTACATGTACAATGTACATGTATTTACATTAATGTATGTATCTCTACATGTACATGTACACTATGATGTTGTATGCATTTCACTTTATTTAAAAATGTCTTGACAGTTGATCCAACAGTTCATTAGTTTGTGTAAACATTAA